TGAGCCTATCTTTGCATGAAATGTTCCCTTGGTATCTCTAATTTTCTTGAAGAGATCTCTAGTCTTCCCATTCTATCATTTTCCTCTATTTCTTTGCACTGATCACTGAGGAAGGCTTTCTTATCTTTCCTTGCTATTCTTTGGAACTCTGCATTCAGATGGGTATATCTTTCCTTTTCTCCTTTGCTTTTCACTTCTCTTCTTTTCACAGCTATTTGTAAGGCCTCCTCAGACAGCCATTTTGCTTTTTTGCATTTCTTTTTCTTGGGGATGGTCTTGATTCCTGTCTCCTGTGCAATGTCATGAACCTCCGTCCATAGTTCACTAGGCACTCTGTCAGATTAGTCCCTTAAATCTATTTCTCACTTCCACTGTATAGTCATAAGGGATTTGATTTAGGTCATACCTGAATGGTCTAGTGGTTTTCTCCACTTTCTTCAATTTCAGTCTGAATTCGGCAATAAGGAGTTCATGATCTGAGCCACAGTCAGCTCCCGGTCTTGTTTTTGCTGACTGTATAGAGCTTCTCCATCTTTGGCTGCTGACACTGGTTACTAACATCAATTTGAAAGAGTTCACATCTAACTTTGTATATGATTTAATTGTAACAAAGTCTAACTAACTCCCATGTCTTATAATGAATAACATCATTTCTGTCAATAATACAAAAGTACTTTCCACTTTCCTTTTGCCCTACTACCACCTGAAAGCTCATTATAGCACTTTGTTCCAAGCTTTAAATATGCACTTAATCCATATATCACAGAAGTTGTTAAGAAGACTAAGAATCATGGTGGCTGAAAATTAATAAATTATTCAGTAAGTATATGGCAATTTCCACTATTTGGGTTAAAGTTGATGGTTGTAGCATCCTCAGGGCCCAGATATAGCCCTGATACATATACATCAGGATGTGGTTGGGAAGATTGCCTGGAGACAAGATTGTAACTGACTGATTAATAAGCTCAGAAGTAACTGCAGTCATGGTCTGGGTTACTGCTTTGTCTCTGAAGACACTGTTGATAATCTCAGATGGCTCACTTTTCCCCTGTCACCTGAGTTCGGGTTTTCATATCTTTAACGAGATTGGAAAGACAGAAAAAATGTGTCCCCTTGGTATTTACATATGCATAGTTTGACGAGCTATAGTAGGGAACATATAACGCCATCTGGATGAAGACATGGAATGGCTTATCTTCTGATTGTATTAAATATTTTTTAAATTTCCCCCAATTTTTCATGTCTCTTTTCTCCCTCTGTCAGTTAACAATAATTTGCTAAGTGGACAGAAGATAAGCCATCGGTAGCCAGGCCCCTCGTCGTCAGAGATGATAAGGCCCCTCTTGGAAACAGCTTTGGGTTAAAGGCTCCCATCCACCGAGGCAGATGCCCCCAGTGCAGTGAACGGAGCCCAGACAACGTGGGTGACTCGGTGAAGACGGGCTGAAGGCTCACTCACCTTGGCAAGCTCCCGTGCGTATGTTGGGGATGAAGCCCCGTCGGCAGGGCTGAGGCTGGGCTGGACACATCTCGCAGGGGTGGCCCCAGGCCCGTCCGATGGTGGCACAGCACAGTGTCTTGGTACACACAATGCCTGTAAGCTGCCCCTGGCACATCTGGTTGTTGACCTGAGTGAAACACGGACCTGTCCTGTAATCTGGAATGTGAAAGGCAGAGAGACAGGTTTTATAGCCACACACCAATCTCAAAACCAGCACCTCCAAATACAAAAAACAAGAGACTTTCTTCCGATCAAAATGCTGAATGACAAAAGGCCAGAGAATTTCATCGTGAAAACTCAGAATTTGTCGATAATGAGAAGTGCATTACAAGACTTCAATGTATTCTACCCTAGACGTTGTAAATAGGTGGCTCAAGGGCTGTGTCTGGGACACAGATGTGTTTTCTTGGCCCGTCTAATGTTTTAAATGAGTAGCCAACAATGTAAATTGGGAAATTTCACATGGAATTTCTATTTCTGGCCTTTCTTAAAAAGTTGGATGTTCTGGCCATGCTAGGCCTGTCACGTTGCATGGCAGTGGTGAAGAGTCCCCTCGACGACACCACAGCCCAGCCACCCGGCCCTCCCCACTCTCGGGTTTCCCCACCTGCGCCCTTATGACACTTGCTCTAATGAGCCCTCTGCACCCGTCAGTATTCTGAAGTCCCGTTTTGCATACAGGGTTTTCAGAATATTGACAGGCGCAGAAGAGTCATTAGAGCAGGTGCCATAAGGGCGCAGGTGGCCGAAAAAAGTTCAGAAAATCAAGACAGAACCAATGAAGACACACCCTTCCATACTGCATATATGTATGCATTTAGGCGGTCTAGGTTGATTATAATCATTTAGTACTAACAGTTTGGTTTATGATTCCTTGTCAGTCTGTTTAGTTCTGTGGAGCTCACCTAGAAAGATGGTACTAATGAGGCCGATGATCACGGACTCTTTCCAAGTTAATATTATATGATCTCTGATTTCTAGAATATGCTTGTACCATTGTCCAGCTCTGTTACATGACAATAAAAAGTTTAGCAAATGTATGTCACATATGATCTATAGGCAGGCTCTTCTATGAATATTAAGGATAGTCTACCATGACCCTGGCATCTCAAAGTGGTTCATGGACCAGCAACACATGCATCACTTGAGAACTGGTTAGAGATAAACTCAGCTGTCATCCCAGACTCACTGAACTAGGGTATGCATTTCCCAAGATATTTAGGAGATCCACTGTTGCTATTGTTTTAATCACTCAGCTGTGTCTGACTCTTTCTCACCCCATGGACTGATAGCCCACCAGGCTCCTCTGTCCATGGGGATTCTCCAGGCAAGAATACCGGAGCGGGTTGTCATTTCCTCCTCTGGGGAATCTTCATGGCCCAGGGATTTAACCCATGTCTCCCACATCGGCAGGTAAATTCTTTACCACTGAGTCACCTAGGAGATTCACAGGCACCTTAGAGTTTAAGAAGGACAGATCTAGACTATAAGCAACTTGAAAGCTGGGCATTTCTATCTTTCCATTATAATTTACTCAAATGACCTTATAAGATGATCAGTACATATATATACACACATACATAAATATGTATTATTTTAAGCAGATCTGAACCATTAATAAGTCTTTAATTTTATTGCTTATACTTTGAAAGACACGAGAAATCAGAGAAACATCAGTCTCCTAAAGACTGACAAGTTAAATGACTAACATTTACAGAATTACAGCAAAATATGTGAAAAATTTCCCCCCCCCCCCCTTAAACAGAGATTGTACGCATACAGTTTATTAACTCTTGGGAATGTAAGGTGATATTCAGGATTTCCTGATAAACCTTTATGCAAACAATCTAATTCTATGTGAAGGGGAAAGCCAGAACAAGTTTATTTCAGATTTTTGTAAAAACAAAACAACATTACATTCAATGGAGAAACAGTCAATAATGCTGGTAACATTTTTATGAAAAACTGTTCCTGGGGGCGGGGAATCAAATTGGGGTCTAATTTAACATTCAAAATGCTAAACTAGAACAACTTAAGATTTCATCTGAATCCTGTAACATGACAAAAATACAACTTAAAAGTCGCAAAAAATTTCTGTTTTTTAATGAAGAATGAGGCTTTGTCAGATAGAGGAAACAACATTTTAAAAGTTCAATACAAAGGAAACAAAATCCAAAATAGGTAACCTTTGTAGCAAGTTGGTTTAACATTCTGTTACTCTGCAGCTAAACTTCAATAAAAATAGCTCATTTTAATCCCTTACATAAGAACAACAGATGTGCTGGCTACAAATCACATTTTTGAAGAAGACAATCTTTGTATTATACTTGTAGATATGTCAACCTTGTACATGCTCCCTCCCCACATCACACATTGCCAGGTTGTAAATTTTTCAAACCTACTCTATTGTCTTTCAGACAACACATTATTTTCCCCTCTTAAATAAATATCAGACTTATGATAAACTATATCCAGTCCTGAACAAGTAGGGAAAAGTCCATTCTTCACCAAAAATCTAACACACTTACTTTTTGATAGATTCGTTCATATATACCTATGTTCACATTCTGTACACTTTCAGGATTCCCACAGAGAAGCCTGAATAGAGCCATAATTTCATTCTTAAGTAAACCAATTTGTCAAAAATTCTTTTCTTCCAACTACAACACCTTCTTAAAATTATATTCTCTTCACTCTTTTTGGAGACGAGGACTACCTAGATAAGAACACCCTCTGCAACGAAACTTTCCAGGTGAAGGCCCTCATTAATCAACCGCAGACCCCCCTTTCCAGGAACAGAGTTATTAACCATTCCTTATTTCTTTTGCCTGCATTTCCCTTCTTTAAGACTGCACTGAATCTACTTTCTTCTCTGGTTACATTCTGCTTTCAAACTTACAACGTAACTTACTTCTTCCAGAAATACTAACAAGGAAAATGTGAACAAATATTAGATATCGAAAAGAGATTTAAATTTCCTGATCAGATTAAAAACATTCTGTCCCAGACTTTACTAGCATTTTAACTATGGTCAAAGAGTACTGAGAGGCCTTAATTAAATGTTATGGCTGGCTATACGCTCATCACAGTTTCCCTGTGGGTAAAATGTTCTTGTAGACTATGCTAACCATTCATAGCGGAGGTCACACGTGCAGTGAAGTAACGAAGGGCAGAACGGGGCAAGCCGCTTAACAACTGGTATGCTGGACTCAGTGAGCCGTAAACAGATATTTTCCTCATTACCATACGACGAAGAGAATTTCGTTAAAAATTATCCTGTGAAACATAAATATTGCTATTTTGATTTTCTAATATAATTCCACTTTTATTCACATTAACCAATGGGCACAATTAGCAATCTCATCAAAAATTAAATTCCTTTAAGTTTAACTTACAAAGCACATATTCACCCATCTTACATGTAAGATTCAATAATTTTCCATAAATGTTATTGAATTGTGCAACCATCACCAAAACCCAATTTTAGAACACTTGCATAATCCCAAGAAGATTCCTTGTGCTCATCCTCAGCCCCTGACAACTACTGGTCTTTCTGTCACTATAAAGTTGCCTTTTCTGGAAAATTTCATAGAAATGAAGTCAAATAGTATGTGATTTTTTTTTTCTGTCCAACTTCTTTTAGTGAGCAAAATGTACTTGAGGACTATCCATGCTTGCTATGTGGCATGAGTCAGCACTTCAATTCTTTTTACTGCTGAATAATATTCCACTACATGGATATTATATCAGCTGCTCAGTCATGTCCAACTCTTTGCAACCCCATGGACTGTAGCCTGCCAGGCTCCTCTGTCCATGGGATTCAAGGGGCAATAATACTGGAGTGTTTAGCCATTTTCTTCTCCAACTGTATAGATGTATCACATCTGATAACCAAGTATTGGCCTTTTGCTGGGCTGTATGGAGAATATATGCTTCATTGTTAAATAAAGTGTCAAACTGTTTATCAAAATAACTTTTGATAAAATGTTTTTATAAACATCTTTATTTGATAAAATAAAAATGATTTTACATTCCTACCAGTAATGAATGAGATTCTAATTCCTCCACATCCTTGCTAATAGTTTCTGCTTTCTATCATTATTATAGCCTATGTTACCATTTTATTTCAAATGAATACAATTCAATATATTTGAGAATTCTGCTATATTTGTCCAGTCCTCTTAGTATAATTAGAGATGCTAAACAGTGCTAGGTAACAATAGGTGAGCATTATCATCATGTGGACAACCAGACAACCTTTGGAGAGGTTTCTGGGACGTAAAGACAAAAATAGATTTGCAGGGGATTTGGGATTGAGAGAAAAAATTTTCTTGTTTTCATTTTTTGGTTATTTATTTTTTTGTTGTTTTCTTTTGTGGAAGAGACAAGGATTTTTAAAAGACAATAATTTCTAGTGCGACACCCCTAAGGAATCGGGCTGAGAGTGAAACCAGAATTTGTGTAGAGGAGCTATCCTTAGACAGAAGAACAAACACCCTGTTCTCGTAACCCAAGGGAAGAAGGGCAGACTACACAGAGAGGTCGGCATGTTTGTACAGCAGAGTAGAAGGAGTCACGACCTCTTGGATGCCCCTTCTTTTCCTTGTGAAACAGGAGGTGGACACTAGGTCTCTGGCAGAGGTTGCTGGAGCGTCAGATCATGGAGGCTAACTGAGATGGACAACGAAGATACCTCTCAGGAGAGGGAGCTGACCTAAGAATCCACAGGGGATTCCCAGGGAACAATTTATTTGATAAAATAAAAATGATTTTACATTCCTACCAGTAATGAATGAGATTCTAATTCCTCCACATCCTTGCTAATAGTTTCTGCTTTCTATCATTATTATAGCCTATGTTACCATTTTATTTCAAATGAATACAATTCAATATATTTGAGAATTCTGCTATATTTCTCCAGTCCTCTTAGTATAATTAGAGATGCTAAACAGTGCTAGGTAACAATAGGTGAACACTATCATCATGTGGACAACCAGACAACCTTTGGAGAGGTTTCTGGGAGATAAAGACAAAAATAGATTTGCAGGGGATTTGGGATTGAGAGAAAAAAATTTCTTGTTTTCATTTTTTGGTTATTTATTCTTTTGTTGTTTTCTTTTGTGGAAGAGACAAGGATTTTTAAAAGACAATAATTT